GCTGGAAAACTAGAAAGAAGACTCCTGATTTAAATAGGGACTTTAGAAATTCAGAAGGGTGACACAATGCTATTAGCTGAAATGGTCATAGGCATGACTTTGAATTTACAGCACCTGTCATCAGAAAATCTCACTGTCCTTCATGGGAAGACCCTGAGAAAAAGCTTTTTAGTAACTGAAATCATAAGACAGACTTAGCAGGCCGAAGTCTTCATGTTTTTAGTCAAGGATTCTGCAATGTATTTATAGAAAGCTTTTACCTAAAATTAAGTCAGCATATTCTTGTCATTGAGAATTCGGAATACAGAGTCTAAAATTTCCAATACATTTTTCTATTAACATTAGGCACTTGGAAGACATAAATCTTTTTATAAAAAATTTATTTCTCTGTAAATAAAAATTCCAACATCAACAAATAATAGTCCAGTGGAAAAATACTAGCCATTAACATTGAAAACTTTTTTCTTAATTTAATAAATAGAACTTTGGCATTCAAAATTCTAGCTGTAAACCCTATTAAAAAACAAAAACAAAAACAACCCCTTTACAAAAAAAGAGGCAAAAATGATAGATCAGAAGGCATAAGCCAACCAGTGGCTTCACATTCTTTTTACAATAACTGTATTTTAATTAAGTCATGAACACTGTATTTACACATGAGGTATTCTGGGTGGTTCAAAAACTGAACCTAGTTTATAAAACCACCAGTCATAGTGACTGATTACACACTGTGCTGTGCTTTTAACGTAACCACCTAGCACCTTACTACTTCTTGTCATCACACCAATGTGATGTTGAATTTTATGCTTGGGTATTTAAATAACTATTTATACATACATATGTACACAAATATACTCACAAATGAATACATTCTAAAGGAGTTTCCCACTCACTATACAGGGAAGGCTGGATTCCAAAGACATATATCTGATACCTCTTCTCATATCTTACTGCCTAAAAATGAAAACCAACTCCTTGCTTTAAAAAAAATCCTTAAAGTCTATTTACAGAAGAACAAGGTGCAATAATCATCAACATTCTTATAGCTCATGTAAAACAGAAATGAATGCTTACTGCAGGCAAAAAGGCACAAAAGGTTCTCTTTATGCAGCTGCAATAGTGTTGTTAATGACTTATTGATTTGAAACTACATTCTTATTATATTTAATATTTCTTTTAAATAAGAAAACAATCCAAAATCTTTCCCCTTCATGATTAAATGTATGATATAATCATATGGAAATATACCACCATGGCATTTTGGGGCAAAGTTGGAAATTTTACTCTTTATACCAAATAGGAAATCGTTTTTCTTGTTTCGTGAACACTGAAAAGAATTGTCAAAAATGGAAACAAAATGAATTAACTTTGGCTCTGAGAGCCACAGCTACTGGCAGTTTCAAATTATGTAGTCTGAGTGAGCATGGTTATGAAAATTGCTTATTATCGTAAATACATAACTACAATGATAGAAATCCACGTAAGAGAATGCCAATAATCCAAACTAAAGGCGTGTCTGAGCTGAACTATGCTATATAAAAATATAGTCTAGGTTCTCAGCTACTATGTTACTCAATGAACTATTACTGATATTTAAAGAACATTTTCCCAATAAAGTAACTCCTTTAAAAATATCCTCTAAGAGATTCCTATTAATACATCTTGCACTATGACAGAATTAATTTGTAAGCTCATTAATGTCAGAAATGTACAATATTCATTTTAACAACACATTCCAGCCTTTGAGATTGTCTTTATAATCAGCTGTTGAAAGAAGTCTAATTCAGTTTAATAAATTGTCACCATCAAAATAAATTTCATTAAAATATAATACTGTTAACATTAAATATTGAATCCCAGTTCAAATATAAAAAAGGGGCCACACTTATTTTAAAATAAATTCAGGAATACTTTGCCTAGTCAATACTTATGTTTCTTTTTTTAATTAGAGGCCATCGAAAATTTACTGACAGTTTAACTAAAGTCATCCCATTTTTCTGACATCAAATGAAAAGACAGCTATTGTGCCTTTGATTCATTGAATTTTATCTGCACAGGTACTTTGGATTTTTCACTGAGACAACTGTTCTTTACAGTTGTAATGTGACTGTAATGTGACTGAGGCAGAATAAGCTCAACTTTAAAACCCAAAGACCAATAATTAATATTAATAATGCATGAGAGTCTTCCTAAAAGGATATTTAATTCACAAAATCATAATTAAAAAGAGGTTTCATTATCTAAGGAAATTTTCAAATAGATGTTCTTTAAAAAGTTTAGGTTAATTTTCATTTCAGGCATATTTGCTGCCATAACTTCCATGAACATCCTAGTTCACTATAGCGCTGATATTTGCCCATCTTACTTGGCAAAATCTCTTCTGAATATGATACCAATATTATTACTATTCTAACCCAACAGAGTGTCTTGGGAAAGGGGAATTTTCTGAAAAATAAAAATCAAAACTTAAATACTGACAAATTAGAATATTACTAGTTTCACTTCTCCCCAAAATTCCTTCCAAGGTTATCTACTTGAGGCCCCATTACAAACTCCAGACTCCAAGAGATTCAATTTTGTAATCCAAGGTTATACTTAAACTATTACATCTTAATTCCATTTTTTTATGGGAAATACACAATTTGCAAACTGAAATGCATCAGTAGTAGTTCATTTCCTACTAAGTTAAAATTTTTTTACCTCAAGATATGTTAACTAAGTTTAATTCTGTAAGTTTCAGAATACTAACTAAAACAAATAAAAAATTACTTTATCCCAACTAAACCAGAAAACAAAAATTAATCTACAGTAGATTAAAACAAATGACCATAAAACAACAACAATCATAAAGCCCAAAATATATACTAAAAGCCTAGGATATATTTAGTAGCCTACTGATCCAAATTGGTGACTGTTTGCCAGTTAGTTCTATTATTTTAGGGTGCCTTCATTTCCAAAATCATGGGGGAGTGTTGGGATTCTATTCAAATAGAATGTAAAAATGTTGTTTGCTGTACTTGTGGCTGATCTATTTTGATGTTATTATCTATTAATACTTTACTATAACGGATCATTTCACAGATACTAATTTTTTGCAAGGCAGAATTCTCTGCATCAGATTTTTGGTACAAATTTATTATACCCTGATTGTCTTCAAACCACTAACATTAAAAAAGAAATGACCCATTAGAAAGCCAAGTTTTTACCAGTGACTAAGATCCTCCTTAGGTTAGGGACCTTGGGATGCTGAATCACTATAATGCACTGATTTCTTAGTGCCCAGATGCTAAGAAGTAAGAAGAGCAATGAGGACTCAGGCACTGCACAAAAGGGAAATCTGATGTCTTTACAATGTATTATAACTAATTGCTGAAATATAACTATAAAACAATTTATTGAGAGCTGTATATAAGCCAAAATTCTGAACTGAGTGTCTTCCTGGGTAGTCTCCAAGAACCTTGTCTCACTTGTTTTCACTGTTAAAAATATTTAATAAAAATATTTTCTAGGAGCAGCCTTTATACCACTATATAAGCCTGGCAAGAAAACAGGCATGTGATCTGCTCTGACCTACTCAGTATTATCCTCTTTGATTCACACCCTTTCTCTTTCCGCCTCTTATTAATATTTAGTCTTGCCCTAAATGAAGGCTTGGTTGCATCAAGAAATCAAACCAATTGAAAAAGGACAAGGCTTGGCTATAATTAGGTATATTCAAAAGAATGTAATGAATGTTCTGAAGGCAAGAAAATATATAGTTCTTCGAAAATACCAACTAAATATGGACAATATTCATTGGAAGTTTAAATGATTGTATGTCTACTTAAAAAACAATTTCACTTCATAGTAATACCCTGTACTCCAGATGAATAACTAACCTGGCCAAGTTCATATTCTATGAAAAACTCTGTTGTTAATGTACTTATCTAATAAAAGGAAATAAAATATCTACGTTTAAATTTTTTTTTATGCTAGTGTTAGTTCAGATATAAAGAATATGTGTTGGCTTTCTCTTAGTTTCAACTTTAACACAGATACAAAACTGTTGAAATGTAAATGTTGAGATTTAGATAAATAAGCTATTGTTCCAGAGTCACTTCATTAATCTTTCTTTACAATAATGATCTGAAACCTTAGAAGATTTGCATTAATTATATATGGCTTTGTTTACACTGATACACATAAAATATAAATTAAAAATTGTAAATAGTAAGGGACATTTTAAAATTAGTTCAAATTATGTTAGACTTCCTTGTAATACCTAAATTACAATGCTATTGAAAAAGATCATCACATCAAAATTTCAGCCCTCTGAGGAAATCCACAATCACTCTGGAAAAACAGCTGACCTATCTACAGTACTAAAATCAACTCAAGCCCACAACCTCATCATCTCAGCACAGTGACTATCCAAAATACAAATGGTTTTGTCTGCTGTACTACTATTAGAATAGAACACTTGCCTGCTGTTGGAACTCCTGTTCAGCCAGCCTTTGAAAATCCCAAAGTACAACACAAGCTTCAAAATGAAAGAAATATAAGAATAAACAGTGTGTGCCTTTCTCAGAAACTTTGCTTTGACCCTAGAAACCCACATAATTTTGTTAATAAAGCACGCATACACAAAAAACACACATACATGCACACACAAACACACAAAACTATAGGATTAACAGAAATTCTATCCCTTTATCTGAAGGGTACTCTTCACAGCTTGGTCCTATAATCAGTAGTTTGAAAATACAGAATTTTTTTTTTCTTATAGACTTTATCATATTTTTCAAAGGTAATTTGATTCTTTTTTTGCCTGATAAGCCTTTTTAAAACCTCGTCATATCCACTTTTCCCCTCAATAAAACAAATCCACAGAAAAAAACAACCTATGTGCAAGTCATATGTCACTTGCAACTTTCCATTATGGCTCCTAAAGAGAAATATGAAGAACCGTAATGCAGCAGCACTTAACAATGGGTCATTATTGCTGTGGGACCAATACTTGGTCACTGGGTAACGCAGTTGTCTCCCATGTCCTGAGCATAGCGATCTGATATTGTAGTCCTTAATTCATCAATGTCCCTCCGTAACTGGCACACATCTGATAATTTTTTACTGAGTGTTTCTGGGCTGTGGTCATTCTCAGTCTCTTCAGCTGAACAGTTCATTGCTGTGTAAATAAAGCAAAGAGAGAATGTCTCATATTTTTTTGAATAAAGACATTTTAGGATTTTCATCTTAATCATCAAAGAAATATAATGCTATACTCTGAATACTAGTGAGGCTCAGGTTTAACCTACGTATCATTCAATATTAAATAGTTCTTATCTATTTGGTCCTTTTAAAATTTGGCTACTTAAAATGCATTAAATTCATACAGTGATACACACAAATTCAACATTTTTAATGGATGACAATATTCCAAAAGTAAAAAAGAACATACTCTAATGTCTCTCTATAAGCTCAACTAGAGTACTCAGTTTTTCCTATTTGACAAAATCTGAAAATCATTTGTGTAGTGAGAAGTGGTATCATAAATTTTTATGGCTGCAAAATAGGTTTATTGGCATGAAAATATTAATTTTCAAAATATACTGTAAGTATGTATATATATATGTGTGTGTGTATGGAGAGAAACAGAGGGAGAGAGGGAGAGGAAGAAAGATAGGAGGGATGGAGGGAGAGGGAGGGAGGGAAGAAAGGGAGAATAGCTGGGGAGAGAGGAAAGGAGAGAGAACCGGGAAAGGGGCAGGGAGGGGAGGGAGGGAAAAGAAGAGGAAAAGGGAGAGGGAGAGTGGAGAGAGGGAAGGGGTAGAGGGGGAGAAGGGTGGAATATTAGAGTTGGAACCCTATAATCCTAAACAGTTCAACCACTGGGCAATTGACAGCTAATCACCCAGTGGCTGAGTAACTGAGAGTCCTGATGCAGCTAGGTTTTAATTATTTATTTCAGTTCCTCTCTTCGTAAGCAAGCATATCTCAACATAAAAGCAGGCAGAGCCAGTGACCGTGAAATAAACCTTTCCTTGTATCTTCACTGGCCCTGACGGTTTGTTGGAGGCATAAGAGTCAAATAATGTTATTTTAACAAACAGTAATTGAACATCTGCCACAATCCAGGGACTATGCTAGATGTTGAGGTCAGCAAAGTCATACACAGTGTCTTGTTCTCAATGCTTTACACACAATTTCAAGAACAAATGAACACAGTGACATATTGTAGGTGGCCTACCAATACACACAAGCTGCAGTGGCACAAAAGGAAGAGAACAAACAACGAGGCTTAACTGGAGAGGCACTGGGCGGGCCAAAGAAGCAGAATGAACAAAGGTGTGGAGACAGAAAACAAAATAGTCTGATGGAGTTTGAGAAACCTCAGGTAAATCAGTAACTAGCTCTAAAATGATAGAGAATAAATATGAGAAGGGAGAGTGCCAAGAAATAAGGCTGCAGAGGTGGGTAAGAGCTACCTATCTCTATCACAGAGGAGTGTAAGTATTAGGATATCAGATTGATGGTTTAGACAGATCACTCTGACAATAGTGTAAAACGGACTAGGGGAGGAGGTGAGTAAGATGGTTGACACAGAGACAAGTCCAGGTAAAGGGCTATGAAAACTTGAAGGCAACAGTGCAAAGGAGATATAATGGAAGGAATCAATGTTAGGCATAGTAGGGGGATGATAGAACGGATAGAGCTCAATCACCATCAGTCTGGGTAAAGGCCAGGGATTGGTCATGGGTACCAAATGAAGGACAAAACAGGATGAAGGATAAAATCTGGGTTAGAGTGACAGGTGAATGATGGTGCTATTCACTGAGAGGAGGAGCAGGTTTAGGGAAGGAAGAAAAGTGGGTTCGGTTTTGGACATGTTGAGTCTTAATTCCTATGAAACAGTCAGTTCTAATATACAGGGGGATATAATCAGGAGCCCAGAAAAGTCATTCTAGGCAGGGTAAGAGGTAAATGTCTATATGGGTGAAAGGTACAGCAATAATAGAAAACAACAGAGTATGGATATGATTATTCAATAAAAGGAAACAAACAAAAATCGACAATAAAATGTTCCTGGGATACCAATAATAAATAAGTGGTAGAGGAGTCCACAGAAGACTGACACTGAGTGGTCATAAAGGCAGAAGCGGAACCTGGAGAATGATGTCATGGAAACCAAGTAGCAGAGAGTTTTCAGAAGGGGTGTGGAGTGAACAGATGGAGTCAAGACACAAGGATTCAAAAGAATTCATTGGTTTTTCACAAATTAGCTGGCTGGTCAAATTTTCACGATGCCAAATATAAGGTAAGGATTCTGGGGTTGAACTTTAAAGACCAGAAGGAATATGCATTGGGAGGTAAAGGTGGTATAATTTTTGATCTTCCTTTTATTTATATTAGGATAGCTCTATTACCCTATAACTGAAAAAGTTAACAAATTCTATCTAGATAGTGAAACATAGAAGATTACAAAACAATTGAAGGGGTGAGCAGCTCTAAAATGGTGGAGAAAATCAGTTCCTTCGTGTGTGAGCTTTTATTTCTTGCTGCCAACGTATCAGATTTTTTTTTTTTTTTTTTCAAAGATGGGATCTTACTCTGTTACCCAGGCTGGAGTGAAGTGGCAGGATCATAGCTCACTGCAGCCTCGAACTTCTGGGCTCAAGCAAACCTTCTGTGTAGCTAGGACTACAATCGTGCACCACCGCGCCCGGCTAATTTTTTTTTCATGTTTTTAGAGATGATCCATCACTATGTTGCCCAGGCTGGTCTCAAACTCCTGGCCTTAAGCCAACCTCCCACTTCAGCCTCCTGATAGCTGAGATTACAGGCATGAGCCACTGTGCCCAGTAAAAGATCATTTCTAAATCACTACATCTACATCTGGCAAACTTCTCTTCTTCCTTCTCTAAGACCCACACCAAACACCAGTACTCCATGGAACCTTCACAGCCCTTCCCATGTAGATTTAGTTGGTATTTTTCCCCATGTGCTCACACTATGTTTTGTCCACATCTCATATAGCACCTATCACAATTCTCTAATTATCTGATTAATGGGTGGCAAGGGCTGTGTTCCGTTTATCTGCAACACCAGCACCTAACTTTGTGCCTGGACCACAGAAGGCGTCTGATAAATGTTTACTGACTGAGTGAATATATGTAATCATTAAGTGTTTTTTATACACCCACACCTATATATATACATACACAAATCTATGAAGTGAAAGGGAAAATTCTGCTGATATTATTGAGCACAGAACATGTTTCACTTAACCAGTGATATACTTGGATCAAGAGCATTATTTGATTTGTCAAAATAATTATGATGATGCAAAATGGTAGAATCTTTTTGATGAAACTGGCAACAAAACCAGTTCCTTTTCTAGTCATATATTAACCATATTATTAGGCAGCTAGTTAATATAAATGTTGGTTCATAAACCTATTATGTGGTCCTACTGTATTCTTATCTCCTTGCTGAAGTCCATTTCTTCTCTATTAAAAATAGAACAATATGTCAATATAATCTAACTTGGAACCACATGCACAGATGAGTGTTCCTGCAAAAGTAGCACAGAGGGAAGGGACATTAGGATATTACTTTGGTAGCTCTCAAAATTATGTGTTCAGGGAGACAGAACTGAGGCAAAGAGTGGGTGCCACACTGAAAGGCACAAAGCCAGCAAGAATGCATGACAAGAGGAATAGGTCTGTAGACCGTGAAAACTGATTCATGTGATAGCACTGGCGCTGACATTAAGCAACTGCCAAAGAACATACACTGCATTGGAATGCAAGTGAGCACTTTCTTGCAAATATTTTACCAGTGGACATATGGCTGGGTCACTAATCTATACAACTATTACATCAATTATTACTTTTCAAAGTGTAATTGGGAAGTCAAACCTAACTACCACTCGAGCCACTCATTTACAGATTCAGCCTAGGAAATATTTGCAGGCATTCTGCCAAGTGCAGTCCATGTCAACCCTGACCCTGCTCCCTTCTATAAGTATAATGAGGTCAGTCCTAGCAAGGAAGTAGTAACAGGTGTATGTAAACCCACAGATTGATTCGGAGATTTAGAAATCTAAGGACAGGAGCTAAAAATAAACATAAGTTTCGCATTCATGAATACAGGTTACTAACTGTCAAGCCACAAAGGACAAGTCATCAGCCACTTACATCTGATTCCCAGTAATAATGAAAGATTAGGCTCTTTGCCCTGAGCACGCTGATTAAGAATACTGCACAATGCTTTCAAGTCAAACAAACAATAGGACATTTCCTTGAACAGTTGATCAATCACAGTCAAATCAAATAGAGGCCATTTGGAAAGAAGTGTCTGCTGCCTAGATGGGTCTGCTTCCTGGCCCTGATCCATCAAAGGGCCCGTCTCCTCTGTTTGTCTTTGGTTCTAAAATGGATAAAGAAAACAAAAATCGGGTTGTTAGAACACAGGAAAGGTACTCAAAAACCATACAGGTTAACATTTTCCCCCAAGTCTATAAACTATGTGTGTGTGTGGAACACTCTGAGCTCCACAACAGTGGAGTCTCATGCACATTAACCAAAGTCAACTGCATACATACAGTGGGCGGGAAAACACATACAAAAATAATTTAAATAGTGGAAATGGTTCCTCTGTGACATCTGACGCCCTAGAGTAAACTCAAGAGAGGAAACATAAATCCAGTTTCCGTTTCCAGGGATTTCTCACATAATGAGCATCTTGGCTGTGTATGTATTTTTCTATAATGAGATTTATTTCAAGGATAAAACTACAAAAAACCTTTAAACCTCATTCTGTAGCTTTATTGTTAATAGCAAACAGTGATTTAGTTATTTTGAAATTATTTTTTGCATATTGAGAAAAAAAGCATATATATTATGTTAATGTTGATAGAAACCAACAAATTCAGTGTAAGACACAACTCCCCTCCCCCAAGTATAAAATCAAATAAGGAAAAAATCCCCAACAACTCTGAATTGTTAAATTGACTTGCAAGTCACAATATGAACTCATGATTTATTACCCTCAGAAAAAGCTCCCCTCACCTCACTCTCAAAATTGTCACCTTCTCATCCCCAAAATTGCTAATTAAAGGTAAGTTGAATTAGCTTTCAAATTGGAATTGTATTTCAGAACAACCAAATAGCCTGGTATGATGAGGAAAAGATCATTTATAGATGAATGCTAGATAATAAATATGAAAGGAATGATGAAATTTGTAAAATCACCATTTTTCAATCACCTAACAATTCAGGCAACGATCATCGACGGGGGCTAAAACCATCAAAGGGAAAAAGTGCTAGCAAACTGCATACAGCCTCCTAAGTATCACCCCACAGATTACCCACTATTTTCAGGGGTTATAACTTCACAGGGGAAAGAACCAGGCTGTCACCACCCTAACCCAGTGAATTACGCATTTGTATGTCACTTACAGTGGAATAATCAAATATTGTATATTCTGATGATGTGAATAACACCTACAAAGTATTTATGCCAAAGAAAGGTCTGGCCTGAATCTAATGATGTCTTTACCTCTAACTTGTAGCCTATAAGAAATACAGGGAGTAAAGAACAAGATAAATGACACCTTGAGAAAGTAATCAAATCTAGGTGTGACAACCAATAAGTCTATGAGACAACAGACCCAGTTTCAAGCCACTAACATGGGGGAAAAAGGTCCCTCATAAGACTTTGTTTTTAAGACACAACAATGAAATATAATTTGTAGCCTTAATTGAATGCTGGTTTCAATAGTCCCTATATAAAATATTTGATGAAGAAGCAGGGAAATTTGAATATAGAGTAGGTATTACTGAATGTCAAGAAATTATTATTTTTATTGGGTGTCATAATGGCATTATGATTATAAAGGAAAATATTCTTAATTTTTGGAGATTCATTTTTAAGTATTTAGGGGCAAAATGTCATGATGACAGTTTAAAAAAACCCTAAGATATTTATTTTTTTTGTTGTTTAACATGTCCTTAAACACAAGCCAAGTACTTCATCTCATACTCAAATGAAAAAGTACCAACATTGCACCAACTGTGATTTTCACGGGTAGCTTTGTTTATGTTCAATTTGTCTTATTTGCTCACTTTAGAACCTAATCTCTATACTGTATAACATTTGACTGTGCTGTAGTTAAGTGTGTGGAATTGTATTCTAAGACATAAGAAAAATAAAGTTTGGTCTTTTATTATAATTTTGTTAAGAAATCTAATAGATTTAATTAACTGGCACATCAAAATCAAGCCTTCAACTTAAAAATGTTCTATTAATATGTATAAAATTAGCATTTTCTTAAACTTAAATAGGTAGTGAATCATCCTTTCAAAGTAATTCAAATTTCTTCTACTCACTTCAAGCAATGCTTCTGTTAATCTCTGCAGATTTCTTTCTTTCTTTTCCAGCTCTTCCATCATCTTTTGAGTGTTCAATTTCTCTTTAGAAAGTTTCCCTTGCATAGACTAGAATGAAAAAAAGAAATGGAAAGCAAGCATGTTACATGTACAGGAAAATGTCAATCTAATGTAAGTAACCAGGAATGTTGGCTCTGAATACTTTAGATCTTTTTTTCTCCCCAGCCCCTTGGAAGATGAAGCCTTCACCTTTAAGTCAACCTGTCTTAGTTATAGAGTGGCTGACTCCAAAAAAGGAAAAAATAGCATCTTTACCTAGAAAGTTTTTAATCTGGATAAAATACGTCAAATATTAATATAAAGTTGCTGTGTAATGCTATATTACACACAGTTTCTATTTTAGTAATTTTTTATATTTTGGGAGTGTGTTAACAAATTTATTCCTTTGCTTTGCTTTTACATTTTTTTATGGTTAATAAGACGCAATATAAGATCATAATAAAAACTCTATTTTCTATAACTTGAAACATAGCTAAACTTCCTTCTTTCAGTGAATAGTATTCCAAGCAGTGACTATGATACTGAACTCAGGCCAAAGGTCTATTATGGGACTTTGATAAGCTAATCTCCTTCCTACTCCATTATAAAATTACAATTATCTAGACATGATACTATTGTAAGAAAATCCAGATTACACCAAAGTATAGAGGACATTTTAAAAGTACTTGGGTCATTTCAGATGATTAGTCTGCTTTTCAGCTACACACTAAAGAAAAACATGCCACAAACCCATAAACTAATAACTATTAGTGAATTCTAGGTATTTCTATCAACTTTTTTCCTTTTGTTAGACCACAAAAATCAATAAACACATGACCAGAGGTATATCACTTTTTTCAGGTCTGTATTTAGTTTCAACTCTGAAATATTTCAGTATCCTGACCACCTACATAGCGCACAATCCACCACAAAGGTTTTTTTCCTCACATTATCTCTGGATGGAATAGGAGAAGATAGCAATTACCACGGCTTGAGATAAGTATAAATATAAAGCCGTTTTTTCAGTAACAGATACTCAAACTTGCTGCTTTTAAATTTCATTTGCCTGCTAAACTCTGAAAAAATATTACATTTAAGAACTCAAAAGTTGGATACAAATGAATCAAACTCTGTAACAACTATATTTCCTTCCAGGGAAAACGTTTCAAAGTCTACAAAAATGAATCTCACAGCACAAAGTCGATATGGGGCTCTCTATATATGTACATTTTTAACACAAATTCCTCTGTAACTTCATTAGATTGAATCAAAACCTTATTTGATGGTGCGATAGATGGACATTTATTTACCTAGCCGAAGATTTATGCTTTCTGGCCTGACAAGATTATTTGGCTGGAATTCAGAGTTCAATGTAAATTTTCTTAAGATCTGTGACTGTTAGAATTATAGAAAAAGGGCATCACAGATAAACTACTCTAAAACTCACATTTTAACAATGAAAGTTGAACTCAAGAGGGGTGTTTTCACAATTAACATATAACAGAATAATTACAATAATATACTACATATAATACAATATAATTCTTTAAAAGATTACAGTGTTTTATATTTTTACCAATTCAGAGTCATGTTGGATGTGACTAATAATTAGCTAGTAAATCTAATATGTTCCTATATAAGACTGAATTTATATCAGTGAAGAAACAGGCAATCTTCACCATCAAAATAAACTGAAAATGTTTGGCAGTAGTATCTTTTATCACAAGAAGGAAAATCAAATTTGGGAAATAACATCAAGCTTAACCTGTCATATGTTGGTTAGATTCAAGGGCAGTTATCAAGAAGCCCTTTAATACAGATAAGAGCTCACAGATATGTTTATCTAAAAGGACCAACTGCTATACAATTTCCAGGATAATGCTAAATGTAAATGGTATAGCTCCCTGAAGTAACATTTCACCTAAAACATTAATTACTTCTTTATCCCAAATCATATGAAAAAGTGTAGGTTTAACAGTTGAGGGAAAAAAGGGGAGAAAGGAAAGTTTCTACTAAGCTTAGAATGGTCTTACCAGATTCAAATTAAAATAGAACAAAACCTAATTATTAAGCTAAGTCTCCAAAATGAAGCATAGTTCAGGCAGTACAACGATGCCATTTCTCATTTTAAATCATTCTGACCTTTAACAACAGAGGTGGTTTTGGTAAGTAGCTCCTTTTTGGCATTTTACCTAAAATTCATATGAACTTCAGAAATATGTATTAGCATTTATAAATGCGAATGTACAATATATTTGTTTTGGCATATGAATCCAGAACACCAAGTTATTAGTTATTTTCTACATGTATAAGATAGAAGAAAACTTGATAGAAGTTTCAGTTTTTAATTTGTTGTATTAAGAATAAATAGTATATGTTATTTTACAAGGTATTTTGCAAAGTATTTTTTGAAATCTCCAAGATCTTAAAAACATAATTGCTGAAACTAATAGGACTCTGCTATGCATAAGTGAAAAGACCCATATTCTTTTTTAAAATAAGTGTTTGGCTTTGTAAAATTCACAATGACAATCTGTTTATGATTCACTACACATGTCAGGGATTACTAAAATTAAAAATTTGAATTAATTTTCAAATGCCTATCTCTTAAATTACCAGTTTAATGATACTATATTTTTTAGTTCTGCTAAGTTACTAGCCTATAGGTATTTATCGTGATCATTTCTGAAGTTGAAAAGTGGTTTTAAGTACATTTGCGGTTTTGACATAAGTATCCAGAAATACCCAATACACAAATAGCTCAAATGAAGGACAGCCAGATGTGCCTTAGCTAACAGATTCTATGTAATATAATAACCCAATTTAAGACAAAATATTTTGAAAGAAAAGTTTTGTTAGCAGTTTTACTGCATATACACATATACACAAATACACACATGTGCCATAAAGGAGTTTCACAAATACATTCCTTCCTGCAATTATTGATTCAGCAAAAGTCATTGCCAAACACCATTCTGTGCACTGGGTGATACAACAGTGAACAAAACAGTCAAAACCCTTGGCCCTTGTGGAACTTTTACTAGGAGGAAAAAGACCAAAGGAAATAAACAAAAGAAACACATAAGTTGCACAGTATTGTATATTAGAATTTGACTAGTACTATGGAAAACAAATAGAGCATGGTAAGGGTCAGGGGTTTGAAATCTCAAGTGGGGGAGAGCAAGGGCTCAAGAAGAAATAGGCAAAGGGTTGAAGGAAGTGAGAGATTGTGTCCCACAGAAAACACAGGGAAAGTGTTTCAGTCAGTGCAAAGGTTTTGGGACAGATGGTTCTTTCTGTGTTTGGGAAAAGGCAAGAGAGCCAGGGTGGCTAAGAGTAGTAGGAGATGGAATCAGAGAAGGCAGGCAGCGTGAGGAACCAACTGTATGGGGCCTCATAAACCAGCGTAAGAACTTCCATTTTACTCTGGAAAAAATGAGGAACTATTGAAGAGTTCTAAGCAGAGACATGATATAATCTTATTTTTATTCAATAGGATCACTGAAACTGATGAGAAATATATTGTGGGCAGTCCAGGGTGGATGCTGGAAGAAATAATCCAGAGGAGAAAGGAAGATGGCTCAGACCAGGGTGGCAATGGAGGAGGTCAGTAGAAGGGGTCAAATTGCAGATATACCTTGAAGGTAACAGAAATTTGCTGACAAATGTGAGGTACGGGGGGAGTCAAGGATTAAGTCTGAAATTCCTGGACTATGCAAATGTTAGGGCATATTTGCCATTGATGGGAGGTCTGGAAGGTATAGCAGCAGGGTTTGTTTATTTTTTGATGGTGGTGGGGATAAGAAATTCAGTTTGGGACAGGTTATGTCTGATAAGTGAAGTGGTGATATTGAATAGGCCAATAGTCCCGAACCTTTTTGGCACCAGCGACTGGTTTCATGGAAGACAATTTTTCCCTGGACTGGGGTGGGGTTTTTTTTGGAGGAGGGGAGGTTTGGGGATCATTCAAGCGCATCACATTGATTCTGCAGTCAAACCTCTCTGCTAATGATAATCTGTATTTGCAGCTGTTCCCCAGCACTAGCATCACCACCTCAGCTCCACCTCAGATCATCAGGCATTACATTCTCATAAGGAGTGAGCAACCTAGATTCCTCACATGTGCAGTTTGCAGTAGGGTTTGCACTCCTATGAGAATCTAATGGCGCTGCTGATCTGACAGGAGGAGGAGCTCAGTCGGTGATGTGAGCCATGGGGAGCAGCATTAAATACAGATGAAGCTTCCCTCTCTCGCCTGCCGCTCACCTCCTGCTGTGTGGCCTGGTTCCTAACAGGCCACAGACGAGTACTGGTCTGCAGCTGGGGGGTTGGGGACCACAAGAATAGGCAACTGGATACACAAGTTAGGAGCTTGGGAGAATTTTGACCCGAAAACAAAAATTAGGGAGTGGTGAGCACACACATTATATTTAAAGCCATGATACTGGATAAGATCACCGAGAGAAGTATAACGAATTCTAGGAAGAAAACCAAATTCTCTTTTGTGAAATATGATACAATATTACTGAAAATAATTTATATGTCTTCAAAATAAACTTTATCATTAACATCACAAATGAAACTAAACTTATCCATAGATTCGAAACTGGAGAAGTTTCTATCTAATAAGGTATTATTCTCCAATTTATATATACTAATCTACTAACCTGTCTATATCTTTATTATAATAAAATTTATACTACAGGTCTTAAGTTTATTATGTCTAGTTAAATAAATCAAATGAAATAACAAAACCTAAAAAGTTCTTCTGAGATTTATTTTTGTTGAAATTTTATTAACATACACACATTTCAATTATCTAGAAACAAGGCACAAAATCATTTTAAATTTATTACTGAGAACAGCTGAATGGTCTCCTACTAATTGTTATGATTCTACTAATATGGCACACTATTTTTGCAATAGCTTATATAACTATAAATGAAAGATAATAATGCTAGTATCAAAAGAAATAGCAATTAATAAAGAGCATGCATATTTAATAATGTAAGATAACGCCATCTATTATAGAAAGCATTAAAAGGGGAATGCATTTTTGAATGAAATTT